GGCAGCGCTGCGGCCGCGGGCCCTGCGGGTGCGGCCGGGCCAGCCGGGCCCCTGGGGCACAGCCGGGGACAGCTTGCGAGAATCACGGAGTTACAGCAGGGTTGGGGTTGGAAGGGACTTTAAAGATCATCTGGTTCCAGCCGTCCTGCCGTGGGCAGGGACACCCTCCGCTTGTTCAGGTTGCTTAGAGCTGCATCCAACCTGGCTTTGAACACGTTTAGGGATGGGACAACCACAACTTCACTGGCTGCCCTGTTCCAGTGCCTCACCGCCCTTCCAATAAAGAATTTTATCCCAGTATCTGATCTAAACCTACTCTTAGCATAAACCTGTTTCCCCTTGAGCCGTCACTACATGTAAATAGTCTAGCCCCATCTTTCCTGTAAGTTCCCTTCAGGTACTGTAAACCTGCCATTAGGTCACCCCTGAGCCTTCTCTTTCACTGGCGGCACAATCCCAGTTCTCTCAGCCTTTCCTCATAGGAGAAATGCTTCATCAGCTTGGTGGCCTCCTCTGGACTCGTTCCAAAAGGTCAGTGCCCTTCCTGTGCTGGGGATCTCAGAGATGGATGCAGTCGGCACGTGAGGGTGATGCACTGAGCTAGTGTCGCTAACAAATGTGTTTAGCTGCAATAATCCGTCAATAAACTGCTCTTGAATCTCGTCTTTCTGGAGAATTTTCCTGCAGGCGCTTGTTTTGAGGTGTCCCTGAACCGCCAGCTCAGCTGTTTGGCAGACCTGCAACGCACGAAGTAGCAGAGTGTGCATTAGGTTGGTGCCAGGTTGCCGGTCTGAGCATCCCTTTTTTTGTGCCTCTCGCTGGGAACTGACACCAGCCCTCTGTCCAGGGCCAGGCTGGGAGCCTGCTAGTAGCAGCCTGGGCAAGAGGAGGCCTGCATCCTGCAGAGCCAGGCTGCTGGGCTGGAAAAGCTGCTGAGACCTCACCCGCCGATTGAACACAGCCATTAGGAGCTTTGATGTTGCACATTTATGTTGTGTTTCACTAGTGGTCCTTTGGCAATCAAAGTAATTGTTGTACTGACCAATGCCCTGTGTCCCACAAGTCTGGAAAAATGTCTTGTGTGTGAGGGATAAAGGGAATATAATTTTTTTTTATATAGTCTTTGGCTTTTTTTTTTTTTTTTTTTCTGTTCCTATGTTCTGTATGGCTTAACATTACCAAATGCCCTGTTAGGTTCTGGTATTGAATGGTGGTAAATCTAGATCTTGTAAAATAGGATTAAGGATTGAGTAAACTATTAGGCTGACTTGCAGAGCATTTTCTCAAACTAATCTCTTAATGACAGAACAACTGAGAGTTTTATACAGTGGTTCCTGACAAGCTTCTGGCCATGCAAGCAGTGCTGTAAAACACCTGATTTTCTCAGTGGGGAGCCAGGGTGTAGGAATTAACAAACAGGCAGATCAGTCTCTTAATAAAAGTAGACATTGAAACATTTTGGCTTCCTGAATGTGCCTGCCATCAAAACAGTTATACTGTGAATAGTGTGTTTGTATTTCTGAGGCTAGTATGACTGTACTGAGTGCAGTGATTTTGCAAAACTTCTGTGTACTTCTCAGGTTTGTATATCTGCAGCACAGAGCTTCAGATGGTTCTGTCTCTATCTTGAGACTTTCTGGCTTCTGAGCCTCCAGCTGGTCACTTGCCTTAGAATTACTGTGGAAACATGTATCCTGTTAATTAATTTAAAAGAATAAAGGAAAACTTTTGTGGCAATCTGTGATAAACTGGATGATTTATTCTAAATTCAAAGAAGCAGCACATCCTGTGGATGGTAGGGGTGCCAGGGAGGGGTAAGCTGTAAGCACAGGGAAATGCCTGTTAGTGTCTGCATGCAGTGGTCATTGCAGTTTCTGTGGATTGTGATTCAGTCTGCATTTAATGGCTTTGGGTGTGTTTTATCAAGAGTGCCCAGGAGAAAGGAGTTTTGCAGCCTAATCGATGTTTGTGTGAAGAACCAGTTCTTTAGGGCCTTCAGTATATGGGATTTGCTTACTTTATTGTCCAGCTCCTTTTCTGGGGGAGGTGGTAAACAGTCCTGCACTGTGCCCTGTGTCAGAAATCCTAAGCAGTGTGGAGCTATGTGCTCTTTGTTTCAGGCTGAAGGATTCTGATGCATTTCAGTGATAGTTGGATGACCCATCACTGTGCTATAGGACTTGTTAAATAACTCAATGGATTTGGTTTCGTACAGCATAAGTGATGCAGGAAAAGGCTGTGATGAAGCTGCTGGGAATATGTGCTGTTAAGCAAAACTGTGTGTTGTTTGTCAGCTGCTTGCCATGGCCTCATCATAGGTAGTACAGGAGGACTATATTAGCAATGAATTTAGTTTTGTAGAGTAGGAAAACTGAGAAGTGATGCTAGTGACAATCTGTTCATTATTCCTTCTGTTACTGTTGACTGTCTTCCTCTGACTTTGCTCCAGATACCCCTGTCCAGTGACATTTTTTTTCTACTTGAATGGACAACAAAAGCACATGTGGTCTCTCATTTCAGAAGGTCAGGTTTTTCCTGATAAAGAGGATGGGAGCAGATTTGGTGCCTGGCACTCTGTAAAACTAGAAATATTTTACTTATGAAACTTTGGGGAAGAAAAAGAAGTGAAAGACTTGATCAAATACAATGTACATGGGTGCATTTCCTGTAGTGGTCTGAATCTCTTCCTCGAGTTTGCGATGACATTGACCTTACTTAATATTAAACCAGATCATCATGGAGTGATGGAAATTTGATCATTTATAATAATCACACTGTGATTATTATAAGAAATAAAATAAAGTAAAAAAAAAAAATAAGTAAAGAAAAATTTGGGCTTTTGACAGAGGATTAAGGATGCTTGAAAAAAAAAGCTTTTGAAACATTTGTTGGTGGAGATACTTATATTATGCCTAATGCAGTAAGGTATGAAATAGTCCTCCCTTTATCTTACTCAGTAAAAAGTTTTTTTTGTAGAAGTGACTGGGAATCAAAGGACTTGGGGCCTAATCTTGGCAGTGACATCAGCAAATTGCTGAGTTGCCCTTTGGGCTTGAGTCTATCTGCTCTCTTATCTGTGGCACTGTATTAGCATGGCCAGGTGATTGTTAGGAGGGAACTTTTAGCTGTGTATCCATGACTGTCAGAGGCTGCACAGGTGACTTGGTTATTCTCACACTCAAAGCTTGACCATTTCTGGTGTTGGATTGTTGGTGTTTTATTGGCTCAGGACCTTGTTGGGTTGGGCTGGGTCTCTGATGTATTTCCTCAGCCTCTCCGAGAAATTCCTCAAGAAATTGTGGAAATTTCTTTTTTAATACGTAACTTGATGCAACCTTGTTTCTTCTGCTCTGTTTCCCTTGGAGTGCAGCCTGGCTCATTCTTGTCTTTAGGTGCTCACAGCTTACCTGTCCCTGTAGACAGCTTAATACTGTCAGTGGATATCAACAGCCCATGCCTCCTCAAGTTAGTTTTTGCACTTCTGTTCTGAGGAAACCCATTTCTCAGGCCCTACCTGTGTGCCTAGGTAGTTGTCCCAGGGTGACTTTATGATGTTTGTATCCTCAATCATCTGCTCTGTTTATGCTGGATGTTAAGTTCTGCTCATTTAAGACTGGTTCTGAGAGTGAAGCAGGGAGAAAAGAAGCGCACAGTTTGTTTGCAGAATCTGCACTCCCTCCTTTGTATTCCTGCTCTGGACTGTGTTGTCTGCAGCATAGACAGACAGTGGGACAGACCTCTCCTTTGCTTTTTTGTTAGTTTTTTTTTAAGATAGCTGAGGCAGAGAAGTTCCCTGAACTGTGGCTTTTCTTTTTCTTGGAACTGATCTGCCTTGCTCTGGACTGAAAGCCCAGAAAAACATGGGGAGCTCCCACCTGTGGCCCACCAGGGCCCAGAACGTGGCACTTTCCAGTGCAGGAGGGACTGACAGACTAAGAGACACCCCATGACAAGGACTTTCTGCATTTGCCATCTCTTCAGAACAACGAGAGGTTCCATTTTTAATATTGTTAATTTTTTATTCTTGTGAATGCTTTGCTTGTTAAATAAATAAAACTTTGCTCAAAGGAAATATTTTCTCGACCAGCTGGGGCAGAGCTGCTTGAATCCACTTTCTAGAGAGATCCCTTTGGAAGTTGCCTCCCAAATTTGCCCTAAACCAGTACAGTAGTAGATGGCAGACCAGGAAGAAAAAGCTGTCTTCTGGAGAGGTTCAAGTGTGTCCTTGCTCATCTATGCCTTGAGCAAGTGCATGTCTCTCTTACTGTGGTCCACATCTGCCTCTTCTGCTGTGTGCTGTGCTCCTTGACCTGCAGGACGGTGTCCAGGTCTGCACAGC